CTGCCGGCTCCCACGTAACATCATCAGAACCCTTGTCTTTATAACTAACAGCTTCATCAAAAGGGAAAAAGAGGCTGGGGGAGGGGACATAAAGGGAGGGTGTTTCAAAGAGCGCCAATTAAAGGCAGGGTGGGGCCGAGCGAGGGCAGGAACTGGCTTTGGGGGAGCAAAGAAAAGCGAGCCGGGCCCCCTCCCAGTGACTCAGTGAGGGCGGGAGGCCGCGTGGCCTCGGGAAAGGGCCAGGTTTCAGTTTGGAGAGGACCGAGAAGGAGGGAAGGCGGCCCAGAAAAATGTCTGTGGGATCCAGGGCTTCCAGTCTCAGGTGATGCCGCCACTTCCAGCTGCGTAACCTTAAGCACAAGTCCTTCAACTTGTCAGAACCCCCGGCTCCCCTGGGCTATGAATTTGGGACAAGCACACTTGACCGAATGAACTGTTTTAAATAGCATGTGAGAAGCTGTATGTAGTATCTGCAAGAGCGTCTAGTAACTAAACTATAAATCTATACAGAATAAAGAAGTACTTTTATTGTTCCCTTGGGAATTCCGTGCATAGTCCCTGGGGCGTAGTGTTATTCACCCTAAAGCTATGCTTCTGACCTCCAGCAGCTGTGGATTAGATAGGTCATCTCCTATCCAGGATTTACAACCTCAAAGGGTCCGCTGTGACTCAGTTTCATCTGCAAACAGCTCAGAGGGTCAGCTGCGAGTAGGTTTCACCTGGATGGTAATGAGGTTTAGAGGGGCTGGTGAATTTGAACCAACAGTCTTAGGAAGGCAGACCACACAACTAGAGCAACTCCGCCTCCAGAGTAACTGGCTGAGGGCTGCGTCATCAGAGCTCCCACCTTCTGAGAAGTATTTGTCAATTCTCAGCTCCACCCAGCTCATCCACGCCCAGACTGCACCCTTCAGCTTCAGACAATATCACTCCTTCTGTCCCCCTAAAACACCAGCTATCTGGTTGTTCTCTGATATTCCTTTATGCATGCCTTCTGTCTTTCTCACCCCACAGATTCCCTTTTTCCACTCCTCTTATGTAACCATCTTTCCAAGATGAAAATTAAAAGCCATCTTTGCTCCTTCTAGTATTAGTCAATGTCCTCATTCATCCCACCTTGCATTTTATGGCTTCTACATCTTTTTTTTTTTTTTTTGGTATCAGTTATCCACATTAATCTTAACATGTCTTAATAAAATGTTGAGGTTGATGATATTTGCTCATTTTACAGATTAAAATATATGAGTCTCAGATTAGAATTCAGCAGAAATCCCATATTCTTTTTTTGGCAACTCCCTGTCACTTTTTTTTTAATTTTTTTTCCTTGTCACCTTTTGTGCGTAAACTTTTAAAGTTTTTTTTTAATTTTTTTTCCTTGTCACCTTTTGTGCGTAAACTTTTAAAGTGAGTGGTCTGGGGCTCCTGCTTGCCTCTCTGGACTTCATTCTCTCCTAAGCCCAGATAGTCTATTTACTGGTTTTACCATTCTAATTTTATCCAGGTCATGGGGGACCTCCTTTCTACCTAGACAACTTCAAAGGTTCCCACAGACTTCATCTCTCTTTTTACTGGCATGCAACCATTTCTACCCACCACTTTTTTATTGCTTCAAATTCTCTCATCCCTTGGCTTGAACTAGGAATTAAAGTCTACAATGGAGAAAGATGGAAAGGGTTTCTTTCCTGTGTCTTGTGATTTCTTGGCTATATAATGGTAATACAGGTGAGTTATGAACCCTCACTTGGAACGCTGCTTCCATGGTGTATTCAGAGGTGTGGTAGGATTTCAAAAGCACATTTTACCATCACCACTAACCCAGCTGCTAAGGGCTTTCCCTGAAAGAACAACTTACCTTGGTTTTGATCAACTAATCAGCTGAGTTTTTCCTCTGATGGCAGAGAGGACCTGAACTGTCATATTTCTGCATAATAATAGCATGGGAAGGTTGGTCTCAGCAGTCTGAGAGCTATCACTAGTTAGACCTAGGATCTCCTACTGGACATGAAGCAGGAGTCAAGAAGATGGACCATCTGCAAGTGATATATGTTGGAGGTGGTGTCTAGTCCTGCACTGTTCAATATGGCAGCCACTACTTAAATAATATTGGGGTTGGTACCAGAGCTCCATGGGCATAATTCCTCTAAAGCAGGATACTTGCTCTTGAAAGAACAAATGGTTCTCAGTAGGAAAGTCCTGCTAAGGAATTCCATTAAGGAGGAAACACTCTCTCCAGATCTTGATCTCTTAAGTCTAGATGTAAGCCTGGTTAGTAAGTATTTAGAATGGGAATCTAGGAATCTGAAATTGAAGAGGACATCAGAATTACGATATGAGTAGAGGCAGAGTCAGTTAAGGAATAAATTTTATTTTTTAACTAAAGTAATAGTTGACTATTGTCACCAAAGGATCTTTTCACTTCGGCCATGTCTTAAAGCTTTGATGACTTATTAACTCTCCATTTGTACAGTTCAGCAATGAATCCTGCTTTGTCAATTATTTGCCTCAAGCCAACCCTTAAAGGATGAACAAAATGAGTTCCTATTCACAATGATGCATAAGTCTTGCATTCAGGAAAGAGAACAATGTGAAGGACTTGGAAATGGAAAACCTTCATTGTAAGTTGCTTATTCTATGGGTTAGGTACACTTTAAGAAGCAGCAAGATCTAGGTAGTCAGAATCAAATAGTCATTAGAAGTGTATGCTAGGGACAAATACTGCATAGTGCCACTGTTGTAAAACAAGACTGACATCGGGATTGGGGGGAGACTGAGAAAGATGGGATAAATAATGTATACTGCATTGAAACAGATGAGGGAGAAAACTGTTTAAAAGGGATATGTGATTAGGTACTATTGTCATGATGGGAGTCCAGAACGAAGGCTGCATAGTGGAGTGGACCTGGGGGGAGGGATTGTAAAACAATGAAAGAGTTTTTCTTTTCCTTTTCAAAGAGAAGAGTGTACTGGGGAGGGGGAGTGGTAGGCAGGGAGAAAAGTGCAACAATGAATGAATGGAAATCCAAAGTCTCCGTAAATGTTCATTAAAAATAATAATAATTTAAAAAAATTTAAAAAAGAAAAAATATAAAAGAAAAAAAAAAAGAAGTGTGTGCTCCTGCTTCCCTTGGCTCTGCTTTTCTATGTGTTAATGCTATCCTTAGGCTTTGTCCAAGCTGCATCAGAGTGAGGTCTCAAAAAGGACTGCAGACATATGCACTGCTAGTTCACTCACCCCAGTGGAAAGAAAGCATCATCACTTCTCAATAATTTCAACATAGGTTTCTTCCTGTTCTTGAACCAGCAGTGGACAAGTTCTGGAAATCCTGGGAAATAGAATGTTCTGATTGGCTAGGACTGAAGATGTGCCAACATCTGAAGCAGGATGTTGAATAAACTTCTTTTAAACTAAGTGAGTTGGACAGAAGTGGTTCTATAAAGGAACCCAAACACTAGAACTCCAAAAGGGAAAACAGGTGCTAGGCTGGCAAGAACCACAGCTGCCCATTGTGGAGTTTTTAATTAAAGATAGCTTTTATTATTGTGAAACGATAGTAGAGAGTTTATGCTGACATTTATTAAACTCTTAAGAGGGTTGGGAAGGCTTTGTGATACATAGTAAATTCTCAATAATGTTTACGAAAAGAATAAGTTCACAAGAGAGTAAGTAGGAACACACATAAAGTGTAATCTTGTTCTACAGGAGGGAAGAAAGGAGTTTGATGGAATGAGGGCACAATTTTGTTCAGTCTAGGAAATCAGCCAGGAAGCGAAGGTAAGGATAAATGGCACATTTCTGACAAGGAGTTCCTTAGAGACGGGGAAAAGGGCTGTTTAATTAACATGTACAACCACTCTGGAGGAAGAGTGTGCACAGAGAACTCTGCAAGATTTGCCGATGACATAAAACTCTTCTGAGTGGTGATGGGAAGGACAGTGGACAGTTCTCAGGAACCTGAGCAGAGAAGTGACAGCAGAGCTCCTGTGAAGAGACGCCACGATGGTGACTCTAAGAGACCAAATTCCAAAAGATGCATATGACAATGGAATACTATGCTGCATTAAAAAACAAGGAACTCATGCAATATTATTCAAAATGGTTGACTCTGGAGAACATTATGCTGAGTGAAATATCCCAGTCACAAAAGGACAAATATTACATGATGCCACTGTTGTAGAATGGGACTGTCCTTGGGGTTGGGGAGAGACTGAGTAAGATGGGTTCAATAATGTATACTGCACTGAAACAGAGGAGGGAGAGAACCGTTTAAAAGAGAGATGTAACTGGGTATTTCTGTCATCACAGGAGACTAGAGCGAGGGCTGCATGGTGGAGGGGACCTGGGGGAGGGTTTGTAAAACAATGAAAGAATCTTTTCTTTTACTTTTCCATAATTTTTGGACTCATGTACTTATAACTTGTTAGTCAAATTTGTGTCTTCTAGGTTGCAACACCCCCATGATACATCTTCAAGGATATGTACATGTACAGCCAAGCACAATCAATAAGAGTGCATCTGAATTCCAAAATCAATCTCCATAATAGTCTATGTGTTTCCTACTGCCAAAGGGGCCCTTTAGAGTAGTGAGAGAAGATCTACACCCTGAAACCCACAGCGTCCCTTTTCAGCAGGAAGTAGCTAAGAGAATACGCCGTCCCCTTTTCCTTATGACTCAGGGTGAAGTCTCTCTCAGGGAGGAGTGATAGGGAATGGCAAAGGATACACTGACAAAGAAGATTAATCAGAACTGGCTTTGACAAGCACTGTGGCATTTGGACAAGAACAAACTGGGAGGAGGGTAGAGAGAATAGTGCAACAATGAATGAGTGGAAGCCCAAAATCTCTGTAAATGTTTATGAAAATTAATAAAATATAATTATAGAAAAAAAAAGAAAAAAAGAAAAAAAAAAGATGCATATGAAATGAAGACTGAAAATCAGGCTTCTGACCAAGGAAAGTACATACAAGTAAATAGAGTGGTTTCTGAGAACGTCAGCCAAAGATGGCTTTAGACAGGAAGGCAAGTGAGATATTGGGGTTCAGAACAACAGTTTGGGGTTCAAAGGTCACATAATATAATAGGGTGATGCACTGATAAATGGAATGCGTGTGCCGTTCTACCCCACCATCCTGAGCAGAGTGGAGGCTCAAGAATCCTTGAAGTCGCGAGTCTCAGATAATGGGACTGCTGGGTCTGAGAGGCAAAGATTAAGAGCAGGAATCAAAATATGTAATGTAAACACATGAAGTGCAGATGTGCACATCAAATCTTAAAACTTTAATGGCAAGAAAATGTAGTCAGGAGCTGACCAGAGCTTTGGTTTCTCCTCTGTGTGATAGAGCAGAGCTTAGATCATGAATGAGTTGAATCTTAAACGAGATCAGGTGATGTCAATGCCTAGTATAATGCTTACTCCAAAGTAAATACAGGTAAAACTAAAGCAATATGGAGTATCCAGGCAATTCATGACGCCCTAGCCCTAAAGTCTGTTAGCTATAAGGGCATGCCTGCTACTATTGTCAGTTATTTATGGGATCTAAAGTCAGAGAAATAGGCTCTACTCCAATATTTGTTTTCCATGAAAACATCAACCCCACATGGTCTTTATGAAGAAGATCCTGTATTTATTCGAGAAGCATTTATTGAACTAGATGGATCTTGGCTGAAAGCAGAGAGTACCAGAAGGATGTCTATTCGTGTTTTATTGACTACATAAAGGCATTTGACAGGGTGGATCATAACAGATTGTGGCTAACATTGAGAAGAATGAGATTCTCAGAACACTAAACTGTGCTCATGCGAAACCTATACCTAGACCAAGAAGCTGTTGTCAAAACAAAGCAAGGGAACACTACATGGGGTTTAAAATCAAGAAAAGTGTTTGTCAGGTTGTATCATTTCTCCATACCTGTTCAATCTCTATGCTGAGCAAATCATTTGGGAAGCTAGACTTTATGGGGGGAAGTGGCATCAGGATTGGAGGAAGCTTTATCAACCTGCATTTTGCAGATGCACAACTTTGCTGAAAGTGAGGAAGATTTGAAATGTTTGCTGTAGAAGATCAAAGACTAGTAGTCTTCAATATAGATTAAATCTCAGCATCAAGAAAACAAAAATCCTCACCACTGGACTGTTAGGTGATATCATGATAGATGGAGAAAAGATTGAAAGTGTCAATAATTTTATCTTACTTGAATCCACAATCAACACCCATGGTGCCAGCAGTCAGGAAATCAAAAGATGTATTGCATTGGGAAAGTCTGCAGTCAGGGACTTCTCCAGAGAGCTGAAGAGCAAGGACGTCAGTTTAAAGACTAAGATGCATCTGATCCAAGCTATGGTCTTTTCAATTACTTGCTATGCAACTGAGAGTTGGACAAGTCAATAAAGATGACAAGAAAAAAGAATCACCTTTGAGGTGTAGTGTTGGAGAAGAATATTAAGTATCCCATGAACAAAAAAGGATGTCTTGGGGGAGGTGAAGCTGGGGTGCTCTTTAGCAGGACGGTGAAACTTCAACTCACATACTTTGGGTCTGTTGTTTGGAGGGGCCAGTCCTTGGAAAAGAATGTTATGCTTCTAAAAGTGGATGGTTAGTGAAGGTGGAGAGGACCCTCAGTGAGATGGATTGACACAGTGACTGTAACAATGGGCACAATTGTGGCAGAGAGAATGAGGATGGCACAGGATAGGGCAGGCTTCAGATCCATTGTTCACACAGCCGCTATTAGTTGTAGTAGACCCAACATGACCTATCAACAACAATAACACTGCTTATCAGACATCAAATTAGGCACTAAGTGGGTATATAAGGAGTAGTAAGGGAAAAAAGCCTGTTCTGGTGGAGCTTCAAGTCTAGCAGAAAAAGACGACAGTGGGTCATCATAAACCTGAATAGTGCTTGCTCTGAGAAGGGCACAAACAACAAAGATAACGTGTAGAGAAGGGCTTTAAAAAACCACAAAACGCGGAGCTAGTATTATTGAGTAATGTCTTGGTAATAGTTTCTCATTGTTCCTGGAACAAATGGCCACCAAATTAGGAGCTTAAAATAACACAAATTTATTATCTTACAGTTCTAGAGGTCAGTTGTCAAAAAAATGGTCTGATAGGGTTAAAATGAAAAGCTTCCTGGAGGCCCTACAGGAGAATCTGTCCCTTGTCTTCTCCAGCTTCTGAAGACTGTCCCAAACTCTTGACTCCTGGTCATATTATTTGACCTTTGCTTGGTTGGCTTATGATCTTCTTTGACATTCTGCTTCCTTTTTATAAGCACCCTTATGAGTATATTTGGTCCACCCGAAATTTGCAAAGTCCTTTTTGCCACATAATAGAACATATTTACAGGTTCTAGGGATGAGGATGCGGATGTCTTTGGGAGACCTTTATTCTTTCTATCATAGCATTCCTGAGATGTATAAGATGATAGAAACATCCTTATGCAGAATTGGGCTATCTTTGAACACAGAACCTATTAGAGCTAGTTTGTGGGGAGCAACAGGCGTATTTGAGGGCTGACTGCGCATGCCTTCTCAGAATGCATTGTTAGCAAGGTTGACCCTATAGTATTGTAAAGGGCCCACGTAGGCAACAGGGAAGGGCGCTGGGGACTGCCAGCAGTTATCCTAAGATAATGGACAAGGATAGTCCTTCCCTAAACTCCAATCTCTAAGTCAGTGACGGTAACTAGGTCTATCTGAAAAAGTTGGGGTAAGGATTAATTATAATGTCATCCATGAAATCACATAAGACTTTGATCCTTTAAAAAAATGTGAATTTGGGAACTAACTTAGGCCCATAAGGACAAATCTGAATAAGGCCATTATTGCAGAACTAGATAACTAGTAAAATGTGTATGAGGATCCAAGGGGGGGGGAGAGTAGGCGCAGAGGGGTGTGGATGGGTGGGTGGGGTTATCATAAGGTCACACAATTTGATGGGTAGAGGGAGGGGTGGGTAAAGGAAATGGTAAATATTCGGTGTGAAAAACAATGTATACAAACTTTGCAAGTAAACTAGTATAAAATAAAAATTGTATTTTTAAAAAAATGTCCATTTTGAAAAGTCTCCCTCTTTTGTCTGGAGCTCAACATCAAGAAGACAAAGACTCCCACCTTTGGGCCAACGAACAGGACCATGATGGATGGAGAAGAGATTGAAGTTTTACAGCTTGCTCGGCTCCACAATCAACACTCTTGGCACCAACAGTCAGGAAATCAAAAGATAAATGACATTAGGTAAATCTGCTGTCAGGGACCTTTCCAGAGGACTGAGAAGCAATAATGTCAGTCTAGAAACTAAGGTGCACCTGATTCAGTCCATAGTCTTTGCAATTATTTGCTATGTATCAGAGACCTGGACAATGACTAAGGACGACAGAGAAGAACTGATGTCCTTGAGTTGTGGTTCTGGAGAAGAGTCTTTTTTTTTTTTTTTTTTTTAAAGAAAAGATTCTTTCATAGTTTTACAAACCCTCCCCCAGGTCCCCTCCACCATGCAGCCCTCGCTCTAGTCTCCTGTGATGACAGAAATACCCAGTTACATCTCTCTTTTAAACGGTTCTCTCCCTCCTCTGTTTCAGTGCAGTATACATTATTGAACCCATCTTACTCAGTCTCTCCCCAACCCCAAGGACAGTCCCATTCTACAACAGTGGCATCATGTAATATTTGTCCTTTTGTGACTGGGATATTTCACTCAGCATAATGTTCTCCAGAGTCAACCATTTTGAATAATATTGCATGAGTTCCTTGTTTTTTAATGCAGCATAGTATTCCATTGTGCGAATATACCACAGCTTCTCTAGCCATTCGTTTGTTGATGGGCACTTAGGTTGTTTCCAACTCCTTGCTATTGTGAACAAAGCTGCAATGAACATGGGTGTGCATATATCTGCTTGGATGTCAGCTATGGTCTCTTCAGGGTATATTCCCAGTAGTGGAATTGCTGGGTCAAATGGTATCTCTATTTGCAACTTTTTGAGAAAGCGCCATACTGCTTTCCACAGGGGTTGCACCATTTTACACTCCCACCAACAGTGAATCAGGGTTCCAGTTTCTCCACAACCTCGCCAGCATTTGTTGCTTGCTGTTCTGTTAAATTTTGCTATTTTGACTGGGGTGAAATGATATCTCATAGTTGTTTTAATTTGCATCTCTCTTAGGGCTAGGGATTTTGAGCATTTCTTCATGTGTTTGTTAGCCATCTGAATGTCGTCTTCGGTGAAGTGCCTGTTCATATCCTGTGCCCATTTTTCTATTGGATTATTTACCTTTATCTTGTTGTGGTGCTCAAGTATTTCATAAATTCTGGATATAAGTCCCTTATCTGATATGTTATTACCGAATACTTTTTCCCAGTCAGTGGCTTCCCTTTTTACCCTACTGGAGAAGTTTTTGGATGTGCATAGGGATTTGAGTCTTAGAAGGTCCCATTCATCTATGTTATCTTCTCCTGGTTGTAGCTTTTCCAGGATACTGGGAAGACTGTTTATGTTGTGGATTAGGACTTCTAGTGTTGTTTCTAGCTTTTCTGTAATGAAGTTTATAGTCCTTGCTTTTAGTCCTAGGTCCATGATCCACCTTGAGTTGGTTTTTGTGTATGGAGTGAGGTGTGTGTCTTGCTTGAGTCTTTTGCAGATATTTTTCCAATTTTGCCAACACCATTTGTTAAAAAGGCTGTCGTTCCCCCACTTCACTGATTTCATTGGAGAAGAGTCTTGAACATACCACGGACTGCCAAGAAAACAAGTCTATCTTGGAGAGGGTAAAACCAAGTTTCTTCTTGGAGGCTAGGATTTTGAAACTCTGCCTCACAGACATTGGGTATGTGGCCAGGAGGGACCTGTGTTTGGAGGAGGACATCACGCTCGGAAGGGTGGAGAGACAGTACAGGAGAGGAAGATCCAAAATGAGATGGACAGATACAGTAACTAGGGCAGTGGGAGTAGGTGTGTCCTAGTCAGTGAGACTGGCTCAGGACACGGCGGACTTCAGAGCCGTTGTACATGGGGTCGCTATGAGTCACAGGTAAGTCGACGGTACATAACAACAACAGCCTTTCTTATTCCAGGGCTCACTGTGAAGCTTCACTGGCTTGACGAACCACATTACATGTCTCAGCCTGGCAGCGAAGCTGGTGGCTGATAGGGATAACCCCAGCTGGAGTCCGGCAAACCCAGGTTGCATTAGTAGCAAGTGTCAGCATCAAGAGGAGAAAGTCTCTAAAGCTCTCTCAGCTTCAGTTTCTTCCTCTGTTCAGGGTGTAGGAATGGTGGTAGTCAAAATTGTCATCTAAGGCCTCCCTGAGGATCAAGTGAGATAGTGAATGTAAAGGACTTAGCACAGTGTCTGGCACAAAATTAAGGGCACAATAAGTTGTACTGTTATTCTTCTCATGAGGTGCCACCTCCTAATCTCATCTTCCTCCACACTTGTCATTGCACACTTGGGGACATTGTTTATAAGCAATTCCTCAGTCTGGTTTACTCTTAATGTGTTGTTGAGTACCTAGTGCAAACAGACCCCACAGCTGACAGTCGCATGGGAGGAGACTGCCCGGCTCTTGTGGAGCTGCTGGTGGATTCAAACTGTATGCTTTCGGAATGGCAGCACAGTTTCTTACCACTAAGCCACCAGAGCTCCCTATATCCTATGCTCAATGTATTCTACACTAATCCTTGGGACTTCAGTTATACTCTTCTAGCCAGTAGTTTACTCTCTAATAACCCCTCTCCTCGTCCCCTAGTTATGACCTCTTGTGCAGAACTTCAACACTGGACTATAGTTCCTGACTATCGTGTGCTGACCAACCCACATGCACGAGGTTTCGAATCCACCAACTATTGCAAGCAAGAAAGATGGGCAGGCAATCCCTCCCTTGCTATTTACTGCCTCTGAAAACACACCTGCTAGAGAGTCAGCTATGAGAAAGTTCCAACTCAATGGTACATAGCAACAGCATAATGTGCTGAAAAGTATTTTCCTTATTTCTCCTGACCTCGTCTTCCCCCCCTCCCCCCTTATATGGAATGTGTCAATTGGTCTGGAATGGTTCTGAGAGAATGAGAATGGTTCTGGAATGAGAAGCTGAGAGATCTTTAGTCAGCCTGCTTCCTTTTCCAGAAAGGGAAACTGAGGATTATAATGTAATACTATTCCATGTCAGTCCTCCAGGGCAGGTCTTCCCAGCAGACAAGTAGCCTTGTTTTCCTAACCAGAGGGGAGACTCTCAGGCGTCTCCAGGGCTCTGGGAGCCGGAAACACGTGTGTGCTCACCTACGTGTACACACGTGAGCACACCTTCAGCAGCGGGGGGCGTTCAGGCCGGCAGGGGGCAGCACAGACTCGGCTTGCAATTACCCGGCGCAGCCCCGAGGGAGGAGGGCGTGCTGCAGTCCCGGCGGCGGCGGCGGCGGCGGCAGTGGCGGTGGCCGCGGCTGGAGGTGCAGCTTCCCAAGTGGGAGGCGGGGGCTGCGAGCGCAGGCAGAGCGGCTTCGGGAGCGGGCGTTCGGCGAGGCCTCCTCCGGCCCCAGGCGCGGCGCGGCGAGTGGGAGCGAGCGCGCCGGGAGCACGCAGGCGCTTTCCTCGGGTTGGCCCTCGGCAGGCGCGCTGCGCGGGAGCAGCCCGCAGCCCGCCCCCTGCACCCCCGACACTCCTCGGCGCCCCTGGCCCTCCCGCAGCCGGCCATCGAGACCAGCCCCTTCGCCTCCGGCGCAGGG